ATTTCATAAAACGAACACCAAAACAGAGTCTTGGTTTCGTTTGAGAGATGGAACTTTCGTGCAGCTTTAACGAAGGGATAGAAGCTCGAGAAGTATAAGTCGAAGCTTGGCCACACTCAATGGGACTAATTGAACGATACAAGCACAAGATCGAGCCTAGAAAACCCTAGGATGATCTCCAAAATCCACAAGCAAGAAGCTATGACGATAAACTCTCGGTTTATTCAATTAACTCTTAAAAATTAACTATTACAAACGAAACAGTGAACTTAAATAGGCTTGGCTAGGTTAATCCTCGTCCAAGCAAGTCCTAGTTACAACCCATTACGAGAAAGAAACCAAAATCAACATTGAAAATGAAATTGTACCAAAACAGCAAGATAGTCCTAATCCGATAAGGATTCGGATTTTGTGAATTCCAAAGGCAGCAATCATGGCTTCGAGCGATTTTGGAAGCTCTCGTTCGAAGACTTCCAGACTTCATTCCCTTCATTCAACCCCACGACGTTGTAGAAGAAAATGCACACTTTCATGTGCTGCAACCCTCTCAACTCGACTCTTGTCCATTCTCCTTGAATTGAAGCTCAAAGTGGCCTTCCTAAGCTCGGTTCCAGACCTAACCGAATCGGGCAGATTGTGCCATGTTGAGGTAGCAACTTGACCGACTTGGAAAACAACCTTCTGACCATCCTTGCGGGCTCCAAAGCATATCCATGGACAAAGGAACTCCTCCTCTTCAAAACAAGCTCAAGAAGTCGAATTTTCATTAAGCACATAAGAGTCTTTGACGATCAATCCTTAATGAATTAGGCACGAATTCAGGATTGTATCAGGTCCCAAGCCTCCTGATGACGAGCGAAACCAGTCTGGGCACGAGGAAGTGAGCCATCGACAAAAGCAAGCTTGTTTTTGGCGATTAGGGTTTCGGTGAGGTCATTGACCCACTCACCATAATTCAGATCATTCAACAAATCACTGCCAAAGAGTTGAGCAGGATTTTCTGACGGATGAAGGTAGAGGGGAGAGTTGATCGATATTACCTCACTACTCAAAGAGCTAGCCGCATATACGACCAATTTTATACACTAAAAGTTTTACATGTAAACTTAAAGCGTTTAGACGACCTACAAGCGATTTTGACTACAATGAGGGTAGTTACATGCATCAACTAGTAATTTTGTGCATAACCTACTATGTAACTAAATTGGATCGTTCACTATTGGACTACAGTTCTCATGAGTTCGAACTGGTCCGTTGCACCCCTATATGTCACTACTTTATAAGGAAGCAACCTATACCTATTTATCACGAGTCACGATCTTTGTTGTGGATAACTTAAACCAGAGGTGTGGCCAAAATTTCGTCTAAAGTGAGTCTAAATAGAAAAAATACACATGATAAAATAGTTTTTGTTAACTTTTTTAATCATTCGTGAAATAATATTATATTTAGAAATTTTTTGGTAAATGAAAATACATTAGTAGTCGAAACTAACAAAAATATCACTCTTTTTGTACCAAGCGATTATTTATGATTTAGTTTGTTGTTCGCTTTGGAATGATATTCTTTGTCAAGAATCTTTACGTATCAATAACTCGAGTTGTTAGAGAGGTTCAATAGTGAATCTTATACCAACAATTATTCATGATTTAGTTAGTCATTCAATTTTGAATGAGATTCTACTTGAAGAATTGTTTACTATCAATAACTCGACTTGTTGGGAGAGGTTCAATAATATATCTTAGGGTTAATATTTTAGTTTGGCCCCAACTATACACAAAATTTCTACTTTGGCCAGTGGTTTCGGAAATTGCTCTTCTGGCCTGAACTATGTACCATACTTTCTAATTTGGCCTGGAGGCGGGTTTGACCGCTAGTCAATGGCCAGCTCACTTGGCCACATCAGCGAGGAGGAAATAAAATATTGAATTTTTTTAATTTCTATATTTTTATAAGAAAGGAAATAAAAATTTTTGTTTATTATTATTATTATAAGAAATGAAAAAATACAGAAATTCAAAAAATAATTTTTTTTATTATCTACTCGCTTACGTGGCCAAGTGAGTTGGCCATTGACTAACGGTCAACTCTATTGACCGTCCAATTTAACGGTCATACCTGCCTTCGGGCCAAATCAGGAAGTATGGTACATAGTTCAGGCCAGAAGAGCAATTTTCAAAACCACGGGCCCAAGTAGAAAGTTTGTGTATAATTTGGACCAAATTAAGGTATTAACCCTATATCTTACACAATTCACTAGCATACCCACTCATAAGAAACTCAACTTATATAAAATTGAAGCTTGCATAAATTTGAATGTTGTGTTTAACAAATGAGGTCGTCAAAATTCGAACACAATACCCCTCGATCAACAATTCTCAATTAAACGCACCATAATTTTTTATATCAATTAATTATGGTATCTAATTTAACCATATTCCTCCCAAGCCAAGAACCTATTACACTCTCCCTCCCTGACTTAAAGGCTTCGAATTTGTTGTTTTAAGTTGTGGACCTTTTTACCTTGACTTGGACTTAAACAAGAGAAGAATGTGATTAGAGGCAATTGTTATGGTTACTTTTGCTTTACATGTATGAATCACGTAACGGCTCAAGATAGTGCATAACTCCTACTAATAATTAAATTTGAATTCAGAAAATTCAGATCTAAAGGTGGAGAATTATAGGCTTTTTTATTTTTCTTTTATTTTTTTAATCGGCTCATATCTTCTTCATTTTAACTTGAATTTCAATTTTTTTTGCATAGATGGAACGAGTTCGTTGTGCTCTACAAAATGAGATCCATTTTTAATATTTTTTGAGAAAAAAAATTTCGAACCTCTCGGTACCAACTGCATACCATATGGTATCTTCTTTGTTTTTCATTCGTTTTTTAAATTTTTTGCACAGAAGGAACGAGTTCATCATGATCTATTGGATCTACAAATTTCTGGGTGAACAAAATACAGGACCAAAAAATACCACACAATACCACCCTGGTACGGGGTGGTATCTTGTGGTACACAATTTTAAAAGTCGTAATGACAGGTAATATACTTAGACCTGGCAATCGGGTCGGGTTGGGTGACTTCGGGTTACGGGTCTTCACGGGTCGGTTCATGATGGGTTTGCTGATTTTGGGTCAAATATTGACCCAACCCATCGGATTTCGGGTCGGGTTTCAGGTCATTTCGGGTCATGAGCGTTCTCAGAAACAATATCAAACATGCTTCTTAAATTTTTAAAGAACACAAATTTTAACGTATGTGCGACAATAGTTTGCCTAACACATGTCAATTAACAAATGCTCAACTCCTTCCATGCTAATGAAAAGAAATACAAATTGCACAAATTGTCAAAAAACAATGACGAAAGTAATACTACTACAATAAACAAATGATGTTTAATTATCTTAATACCCTAAACTTGTCTTTCAAATCCTAATCAGTTTTTTTAAACATCTCATCAAAGTACGAGTGATTTTATCATTTTGAGAATGACATATGCAATGAAACGGGGGTCGACGCACAAACCAACACGACCCAAAAACTATGGGTTAATCGGGTTCGGGTCATTCGGGTTTCGGGTTATAAAACCTCAACCCATTCTCTAATTTTCGGGCGGGTTCAGGTCAGATTAACGGGTCGGGTCCTCATTTGCCAAGTCTAAATATACTTCTACTATTATGTATTCAATCATCCTACAGTCTTGGTTTGTTCATACCACCATGGTACGCTTTTCATACCATAGGTATGCTCTTATTTCAATACAGTAATAACATATGGTATAGACTGGTAAAAAATGTCTCAATTTTTTGTGTTCCAAAAATATATCAAAATGGATATCATTTTGAAAAGCACAATTGATCTGATCTAACTGTGAAAAAAAAATTTCACTTAAAACGAGTGAGAAATCATCCATTAAAAATTAAGGAGAGAAAATTAAAAGCTTTTCATAAAAGAGCGCTGATATGGCTGATTCTGATCGGGTTATGCATAGTTATTGACCACAAGGTTATTGATGGTATCCGCTCCCCTCGTAACCCTACTATATGATTGGGGAACGGATCAGGTCGGTAACCTTATGGTGAGTAATCATGAGTAACCCGTCCACATCAGCATGACATCAACATTCCTTTATCTCTTGAAAAGCCTTTAATTTCCCCCTCCTTAATCTTTGACGGATGATTTCTCACTCGTTTTAAGTCAAAATTTAATTTTTTTTGGAAAGTTAGATCAGATTAATTGTGCTATTCAAAATGATATCCACTTTGATATTTTTTCGAACAAAAAAAATTGAGCCATTTTTTACTAGTCTATACCATATGATATTGACTGTTATTGAAACAAGAACATACCTATGGTTTGAAAAGCGTACCATGGTGGTATGAACAAATCAAGACTGTAGGATAGTTGAATACATGTTAGTAAAAGTATATTAACTGTCATTTACGACTTTTAACATTGTGTACCACAAGATACCACCCCGTACCAGGGTGGTATTGTGTGGTATTTTTTGGTCCTGTAATTTGTTCACCCATAAATTTGCAGATCCAATAGATCATGATGAACTCGTTCCTTCTGTGCAAACATTTTCAAAAACGAATTAAAAATGAAGAAGATACCATATGGTATGCAGTTGGTACCGAGAGGTAAGAAATTTTTTTTTCTTAAAAAATATTGAAAATGTATCTCATTTTGTAGAGCACAACGAACACGTTCCACCTGTGCAAAAAAAAATCCGAGTTAAAACGAAGAAGATATGAATCGATTAAGAAAGCTAGGAAAAATAAAAATGATCTTTAATTTTCCATCTTTATATCTGAATTTTCTAAATGAATAGTCTATATTTAGTTATTGATAAGTGCATAACTATGAGTGATGCACCCTGTCTTGAACCCTTGGTTGGGCTCGGCTATAATCAAACCGAAAGAGAGTGGACACATATAATAAATAATAAATAAACCTTTCTCGTATCGCGAAATTTATCAATTCGGGTCCAGAAAAGGGAAGAAAGATATTTTGTTCCGCAAATGAGAAACCCCTCGCTCTCCTGCGTTTATTATTCCTCTGGAAATCTCCTCTACCACACAATCTAACTCGAGAAATCCATCCAATTCCAAACCCAGAGCAGCCAAAACAAAATTTTACTAACACCAATACCGACACAAACAACCATTCCAAATGCCAAAGGCTGGACCCGCCGCAGCAGAAGATCAGCAGCAGACTACTCCCTTCCTGTCGCCGTAGTGACTCATCACCATTAGCACAACGCCACAGTACACAACAACCACCACCATCTCCCATCCTAAACCCCCACAAAGAGAACAAATTCCTTACAGACAGTTCCTGAAAATGGAGAGTAGAAACGGGTCGACTACTCCCAGGAGTTACCACCATCGTAATCAACAACAACAGAGAGAGGAAGGGATGCTGTCTTGCTGGGGCCGTTTCAAGCTCAATTTCTTCCCATGGAGAAGAAGGCCGACTCTCGGCGGTAGTACTGCAGCCAACTCTCCCCCGATCGGAATTACTGCCGCCAGCTGCGGCAATTTCTTCGGGGCTCTGTGGCGAAGCGGCTCCCGCTACAGACGGAGATCGCCCACGACGGCGGCCGGCAGCGGGTTCCGGTACGACCCGATTGAGTATGCCCAGAATTTCGATGATGGGAATTGGGAGGATGATAGTGAGGCTGGTTTCAATCGTGGGTTCTCGTCCAGATTGGCTCCTTCTCCTTCCAATTCTTCGTCGACTAGGCCCCTTCACGACAAGTGAAAATGCTTTACTAGCTTCTATTCCTTACCTTACTCTGGTTTTTTCCGCCCCCTTTTTCTTTTTAGAGATTTTATTTGGGTTTGTGCGCAACCTTTTCATGTTAAAAGTTATAGGCAGAGAGGTATGTGATTTGTGTTTGTAGCTTTTGTGGATCTCGTCTACACAATTTTTTGGTGCTCTGTTGGACTTTTGTCAAAAATGTTACATATGGTGCGTGATGATACTGATGATTATTATAGAATGTAAATTTGGTTGTTTGTCTAGTCGACTCGATAAGAGCTATTCGTTGTACAGTTGAATACATATTGAAGATCTGCTGGTGCTGGTGGCGGGGATAAGTGGATATATTGGCAATTGGCATATTCCCCTTCTCAACTTGTGATTCTTTTCTTCAAGTGGATATTTTCTTTTGATAAAATTTTCTTGACTGGAATTTTGAAGGTAATAAATTCCTAGTTTTCCTTTTTCTAAACAACACTAAATTCGTAGTAGTTTACAAAAATAAAAATAAATAAATAAATAAATTCGTAGTGGTAATATTACTAAGGGCAGATTTATGATGGTCACTATACCTTGATGCTCAATCTTTAATGATATCGACCAAGAAATATTAGCATTATTTGTGGGTTCAAATGGGTTGTGGTTCTTGACTTCTTGTTTTCGGGAGATGTTATGGTAATTACTTAGTGTTAGTAACCACCGTGGCTATTAGTAGGGCTGGAAATCTAGATCAAACCATATGGGGAATCGCGGTCTAGACCGTGTCGTACGGTTTGGTCTGTATCTTGAGACCAGTGTTATGGTCTGGTCTGGTTTGCGGTCTCCTCCATTAGTGTGTGGTCTGAAGTGGTCTGGACCGCGGTCTACCACAGTAAACCTCCGTAACAGACCGTGACACATTAACTACTAATTCATACCAAAATAACACTAAATTAAACCTTCATTTATGTATTTAAAGAACAAAATTAGTTGATTCTTCATCCAGTTGGAATCCAACAAATTGCCAAATAATCGTTTATGCGATATCTCATTATCAAAGAATCACACAAAACCAAGAAAGATTCATCTATAATATTCACTGACAATGTCTAGACTATGGAGTCGATAAAACATAATTAAACACTAGAAAAAATCATCCACATTGATAAGATAAGTAAAATTATTGTGAGATAAACGACCATCTTAGTGGTTCAAAACGAGGTCGACGTCATCACTAAGGTGATCGACCGCGAGAACCTCACCCGAGAGAGGGAGAGAAGCAGTAGCACAAAGAGGAAGAGGGAAAGAAGGCTATTTGATGTGTGTTTTTAAATGCATACGAGATAAAGCCGTGGAGACTAGAGAGTTTGAAAATTGAAAAAGCCCAATTCTTTCCTCATATATTTCTTCTCATTTTAATTACGATCACTAAATTTATATTCCATTAGCATATTGGGCACTGGAATTTTTGTTTTTGCAGATATCGACGAAGGGTTGGAGGACAAATAAGATTGAATTTTTTTAATATGGTCTGCCTGGTCTACACCGTACCGGACCGTACCGCACAGGCGTGGTGTGGTCTGTACCGTATAGTATATGATCTAATCCATGGTCTATGTTTCATCCTCTCGGTCTAGACCATAGACTGTGTCTATGGTCTGGTCTGGTTCGGACCGCACGGTTTCCCACCCCTACACTAGGGGCAAAAATGGTATTTTTCTCTAGTTTTAACTCAAACCTGTACCACTGTACCATCATAAAATACGGAGTTAATTGAGAAGAGACAATTAGAGAAACTAAGGGTCATTTAACCACACATAGGGTTTTCACAGTCCATGGTAGAAAAAATATTTGGAAGTATAAACGTTGGCTAAGGGGTTGGATAGCGTCACTTCCCCTAAGGGGGTTGTGAGTTTCGCTTCCCCCTTCCTAGCCTTCTGTCCCCCTTACTCTCCATATGACGGTTGATGATGGCTAGGGGCAAGAGAGTGCTCACATTGGATCCACCTGCTCACTAATGCCCTACTGTCAATTATGTTTTGAAAAGGGAAAGAATTCGCTAGGGGAGAGAAATCAACCACCTTCCCCGCAGAACGATTCGTCTCCCCCAAACTCTTTTTCCTACGTCTTCCCCCAAAAACCTTTCCTTCCGCGTCTACGATCAATTTCTCGGCATTTCCTGTCATCATCTTGCCTGGTCCCGTGTGGAGTGCAACGTCTTAGTGTTTAGGGTGGACAAGTAATTCAGGTAAAGATCGACATTCCCATGGAATCTTCTTTGACAACCATTATGCTTGCCTTCCCTCCCCAAGTAGTTGGTTTTGTTGCTCCTCCCCACTCCTTCTCCTTGTTTGACTTTTGCTATTCACATTTCTTTTGGTTTTCCTAACTAGTCTTTTTTTGTGTTTAAGTGCATCAACGAACATCCTTCTGCCACCGTCCCTTTATGCGGTTGTGCAAACCATAGCATGTGAGGTTTAGACGACTAACTTTTGTTTTCCGAATGCAGTTAGAATAAACGACATGCAGTCCTGACTTTCTTGTGTGGCCGACGTGTTTGGTGTTTTTATGATCTATTGGTAGTTTTCAATTAGTACTAGTTCTAGTGAGTTGCGTTACTTGTAATTGTTTTTCAATTGGTATCAGTTCTAGTGGTAGTTGTGTTACGGGTACCAATTACAATGGTATGCTAATAGTGGTAGTTTAATGGAATGTTACCACTGATTATAGTTGTAATGGTACTAGTACCAATTGATTTGTACCAGTGAAACGATACCAGTACATACTGATTGGTACTAGTACCACTAAAATGTTTTAGTGTTGCTACTTGTATTCTTCTAATGATTTTTATACTGGAAGCAGTTTAATTAAGTCTCTGTACCAATGTAGTTTTTTTTATGATAGCAAGAATGGCGAGAGCGAAGACTACATATGATTCATCGAAGACAACAAAAACAACCTATTGGCTATGCTTCTAGGCAGATTGTCATTCATGGAGGGGAATCATCTGATTTTGGTTCTGGACCTAGTAAGAAGCGGCCATATGCGAAATATATATGTATGTCAAAATAAAATGTTACATAGTCTGGAACCTCTAGGGTTCGCCTACCTACACAACAAAGGAAACTGATGACCATAGGGATGAGTTCCAAGTGATACATCAATCGGAAATAGATTCCCAAGGAGCTCTCTAAATCGGCACACAACAGAGATTTCGGGGAGTAGCCCGTTGATTTCGCTCTAAGTCGAGTGAGTCGCTCTGTTGGTAGAGTAACGACCATCTAATGCCTCCTATCACTGACTACCGAACTCTTATGCTCTAGAAGTCTATTTATACATTTTCTATTAGGGTTTCTAGGGAGAGAGGAAAGTCATTGAACGCGTCTTCAAGTAACAATCAACCTCTTATAGCTTGGCCACCTAACTCATTCTAACTAGTAACTACAACATCCTGATCAACGGCCAAGTATAACCGCCGACCGGGTGTAGGATAGGGCAAGGAAGCAATAAAAATTTATCGTACCACGAGGATCTAGGCTTACACTACTTCAGGTTTATGGTTCGTTATCTAGCCAACCTAGGATAGTGATTGATAGAATTAAACTAACTAACCTAGACTAACCACTAACCTAGCTATTTACAAGGTGGGGAGCTCTCTTGGGTTGAATCGCCCTAGGTCCATTCTTTTGATCGATGTTGGGTATCCTCCTAGCTCGATCGACTCAACTACACTACCGTTTGGAGATGGACTCCCTCGGGAACGACCCGGAACGACGAATCGATGGATGGGTAGTGCTCTATTCAGCCTAGGGTTTCGTATAATGCTAGGAGACCGGTCGAATCAACTCGCTCAGGGACTACCCGGACAATATACGATAGGAGTGACTCGAAAACGCCAAAAGGGGGCTCTAAGGGGATTATCTCTGATAGGGCAAAAGCGTAATGCCAATTCCTATCTTGTAGTAATCCGGAAAGTCCGGGTATCGTCTCTCAGGGACTGGTACAACCTTATGATTTATCAATTCTTTCGAGAAAACTATATGTGAAAATGTTTAAGAGATGAAATTATTAACTAAAAGCAAAATTAACTAAACAAATTAAGCAAGTGAAAACTGTCGGGTTTAATTCAATGGGAGAAAGCTCTGGGAGAAACACCGGGATTCACTACCTATCCTATCCAGATTAATTCACATATTCCAATTAATTTAATCCAATTCTCTACAGCCAGGATATCACGAATGTGCTAGCTATCCCTGTCGGGAATTACTACGTACTAAATAATTAATTCAAATCCTACTGTCGTAGCTCAATGAATTAACTTTATAGCCTGAAGATCGATATCCTATTTAAGACCGCATAGCACCTTATTTAATCCACTGTCGCTTCGATAAGTTACTATGTCACATGAAATAGGTTCAATTAATAGGGTTTCACTGTCGCTAATAACCTAATCAACTACGATTCATTGTATTGGTGGCCAGTCAACACAAAGCATTAAGAAATTTCATGCAATAGAGATTGGAAGAAAAGAATCATAAATCAATCCATCAAATCAAGAAATAGCTACATCCTATGGTGTTTCCCCCAGAAATTGGGGTTTAGTTCATGACGAAATTAAGATAAATCGATAGGGTTTTGTTCATCATGTTCTAAATCAACAATACACAACTAGTTCGGTTCAGAAAATCCAACCAACTAATCGCTCTCGTTGAATTCGGCTCAAGCCGCTGGAAAATTGATCGTCAATTGCCAATCGCACTGCTGCTCGCTGCTCTTGCTCCTGAGCCCTTTTGCTTTTCTCGCCTTCAAAGAATTCCCTTCTCAGCGCTCGTCCGCTTCTGCCTTCTTTTCTTCAAGAATTTCGTTCTCCCCCCAGCAGAATAGAGTTCCGCCCCCAAACCAAACAAAAAACGTCCTCCCAAAAACCCTTTTTCCGTCCAAAATTATAATTCCTCCCTCAAAGAGATTTCCGTTCCTTTCCTCCTCCTTGGGCCAAAAATGGCCGCCACATCACCTTGGCCCATTCATGATGTCAGTTGATCGCCCAGCAAGTCCAATTGCGCCAGCATTAATTCAAAGTCCCATCCATTTGGGCTTTGGCCCAATCACTTGTTGTGCACTCGCTTCTTTTTCGTGCTTTCTCCACCTGTAACATATCAAACTCATGGCACTAGGCAGTAATGGTTTTTCAACCATTTCCGGGTTAGCGAGCCCTAAAATAGCACCAATTGGCTAAAACATACCACAGATAATCACATAAAGTCCAAGAATCCGATATATTAAAGCCGAATATCACAACCCCACACTCAATTGTTGCTTGTCCCTAAGCAACGACTCA